CTGGTGGTCAAGCAAGTGATCAGAGCAACAACAGAACCCACACGCAGCCCAGCTCCCACGTAAAGGCCTGGCCAGAACAGACAGCCCGCATCCAAGCACAGATGCCACTGACCTCCGGCTCAATGTCACACACCATGTCCCGCAAACAAGCAAAAAGCACTACTCGTTCTAAAATAGCCCGCTCTCAGCAGACAAAACAGTCATCAGAATCAGACTCCATTTAAATCAGTCTGCGTAACATGTTAAAGGATTTCATGGAAAAGGTGAACAACACGCATGAACACATGGGGTATTTCAGCAGAGAGGTGGAAACTAGACCTCGAAATGCTAGAGGAAAAATAAAAACACTAACAGAAATGCAGAATGCTCCTGACGGCTCACAGGCCTGACCTCATGGGCCTGAGACAGTGGAAGAAAGAATCAGTTCACCGAAGACTGGGCAGCAGAAACTGTAATGGTCACTGGAATCTCAAAAGAAGAGAAAGAACAGGACAGAAGGAATATTTGGAGAGATAATGGCCGAGCGCTTTTCCAGATAGTGAAAGGTATCAAACCACAGATCTAAGAAGTTCAGAACCCCCTCCCGAATCAAGATAAGTATCCCCACCCTGAAAAAAATACACCTGGCCTTATATTAAGTGCTGAAAACCAAAGAGAAAGAGAAAATCTTGAATGCAGCCAGAGGGGGGAAAGACCCATTCCACAGAGGACCAAAGAATTACACAACTTTCATCAGACGCCATGCGCTTGCCGTGCAGCTGACCGGAGGAGGGGCCTCGCTGCACTGAGCCTCAGGCCCATCAGGCAGGGAGGTGGTCCCTCCTACCCCTGCAGAAACCACGGCTCACAGGCATGTCACCTGCCCAGGTCACCCAGGCGGCAAGCAGCAAAGCTACATTCAAACCCAGGACTTCCAGCTCCCAAGCCAGGCTCTTAATCTCTACGCACTGGTGCCTCCTAGACCAGGGTGGGTCTGAGAGAGGGAAGCAAAGGAAGGAAGGGAAAGGCAATGTGAACTGGGCCCCTGCAGAGGCTGCAGAGCAGTGGCA